GGGCCAAAAACCCAGGCAACAAAAGCACATACCAAAGCACAGCCCAGAAGAAGCCCACATCCCTGCTGATGAACTCCGAGGAGATGAAGAAGGTTCTCAACAAAACATGCGACAAAAAGCATTTCCATGTGCCCACAGTCTGTGGGCTGCCAGTTAAAGCACAAGAATACCCACCAGCATTCTGCAAAGCGGTGATCAAAGGACTCCGAAACCAACTGGTCAAAGACGGAGGCTTCCATGAACACTTCACCGCCGTTCTCGCAAAAGAGATTGAAGAAGATGAAGAAGAAGAAGAACCAGGACTCGAAGACGCTCTGGATAAGGAGATGGAAGCCGAAGAGAAGAAAAGGATGAGAGGAGAAGAAGAACCAAGGTACTCCGTCACGGAAGACGAGAAGAAGTCGGTCATGAAGTTGCACAAAGGTCTTGGGCACCCACAACGTGGAGAGTTCGTGAGGTTCATGAGGGCTGCAAGAGTCAAAGGAGAAATCATCAGATGGGCATACCAAGAGTTCCAATGCCCCTCTTGCGAAGCCAAGCCAAGACCAAAGGCAAACCGACCAGCTGCCATCTCAAGAACCTATCAGCCTTGTCGAGTGCTCGGAGTCGACCTCATTTTCCTTCCAGAGGTCGGAGATGGAAGGCTGTTTCCCGCTCTTTCTATGGTTGATTGGGGAAGCAATTACCAAATGGTGCAAAGAGTAGCCGACAAGCAGCCAAAGACGATATGGAACACCCTATGGTCGACGTGGGGAAGAACATTTGGATTGCCAGAGGTTCTGATCACGGATGACGATGGAGGGCGCATCGAGGGCCGATCAACCCCTACTTCGAAGAATGGTTTCTGGCAGACCACCAGGAGGAAGAAAGTGAGGATGAGAAGGAAGAGTGGACCTCAAGAAAGGAAAAGATGAAGAAGATGAGCACTGGAGCGAAGAAAGACTACTGGGAAGTAGACCTCAAGAACCAGTGCATTAGAAGACACCATGTGAACAGAAGAAAGGCCAAGTTCAGCCCTCAAGGAATGCAGAATCTTCCAGTTCCTCTCCGGTGTTTCGGAGAGAGGACCTCCAAGATGGTCAACGACAAGGAAGAAAAAGAAGAAGAGAAAGAAGAGAACTGGCTGCACAGCAAGAAAGGAGGCAGAGAGACCCGAGAGACATGGTGGAAAGGGAGCACGGAATTCACACTGCTCCACATGGAAGAAAGAGAAGAGATCCAAATCTGGGTCACCGAAAAGACACAAGGAGGAGGAAATCTCAGCCAGGAAGTGGACTTGAGAAAGGAAAGTCCACAAGACCTTGAAGAATGGAGAGTGTCCGATGCCTCGGAATTTCACAAGATTCGTACGAGCCAGGCCATTCAAGTCCTGGACGTCAAGGAATCCCAAGCTGTGGTGAAGAAGCTCACCGAAGAAGGAAAGGTGAATCGAATCCTCCCTTCCAGAATGGCTAGAAGGTACAAGCCATCTGAGCAGCCTGGGCAAGCACCGTCAAAGAAAAGCAGACTGTGCATACGTGGAGATAAAGACCCAGACATTTTGGAGCTGGAACGCTTCAGTCCCACAGTCAGCACAATGAACCTCAATGTCATGCTCCAGGTGGCAGTGAACCTCGGGATGGACATAGCAGTGGGCGACCTTCAAAGTGCATTTTGCCAAAGCCCCGCTGAAAAGAGAGAAAGGAGCTTTGTACTTCCGTCAACCACCTGAAGGAATAGATGGGCTTCATCCCGACCAAATCTGCCTTATCGTAGCCGGATGCTACGGACTTGCAGATGCCCCTCTTCACTGGAGGAAGACACTGGTGGGAGCATTGAAGAAGTTAGGATTCAAAGAAAGCACACTAGACCCGTGCATCTTCAAGTTGTATGAGGACCAAAAGCTCCAAGGCATGCTCGCCATCGAAGTAGATGACATTTTGTCATGTGGAAAAGGAGTCTTTCTAGAGAAGATGAAGGAACTTCGCAGCCAATTCAAGTTTGGCAAGTGGGTCAACCTCAAGGAGGAAGAACAAGGAGCGAGCTTCAATGGAAGAAGAATCAAGCAAGACCCACAAGGAACTCTGCACATCGATATGCAGAAGTTTGTCGAAGAAAGGCTAGAGGAGATGGATATAGATCCCAAAAGGAAGAGCCAAAGAAAGGAAGAAGTCACAGAGGAAGAAAGGGCTAAGGCCAGCGCCGTTTGCGGCTCTTTGAACTGGCTGTCCAAGGAGGGACGTCCTGATGCAGCCGGCCCTTCCAGCCTGATGTCTTCTCGGCTGACGAGGATGAAGGTGGACGACCTTTACACCCTGAATGAAGTGGTGAAAGGTTTGAAGAAGAACTCCCAGCTGGCCATGAAGATCCAGCCACTGCGAAACATGCAATTGGCAGTAGTCACTGATGCCTCGTTTGGAAACGTCCATTCCCAAGGAGGACAGATGATCGTCTCTCACGAGCCTGGACTTCGAGATGGGAAGCCCGTGAAGGCGAACCTCATTTGGTGGAGGAGCGGGAAGCTTCAACGAGTGGTTAACTCCACCCTTGCTGCTGAGACTCAAAGCCTAGCACGAGGACTGGGCGACTTGCTGTGGATGAAAGTGCTCTTCAAGGAGATCGAGATAGAGAAGTTCAGCATGCACGAGTGGGCATCAACCCTCTCAAGAGACCACAAGTGGTAGCCTTGGCCAGAGATGATGGAGGCACGCTGAAAGAATGCCTCGCCATAGTGGACGCCAAAAGCCTGTTCGATTACCTCAGCAAAGAAACCATAGGAGGCCAAGACAAGAGGACCGCCATCGAGATTCAGATCATCCGCCAAGACCTCCGTCAGCTGCAGGGAGAGATCAGATGGGTGGACCACCCTGCCATGTTGGCAGACCCGCTCACCAAGGTGAAAGGCTCAACTCAGCCGCTGCTAGAACTTTTGAACACAGGTGAGTTCGGCATTTCCGCTGAAGCAGAGAGTTTGAAGAGAAGGCAAGACCACCGAGACAGCGGTGGATCGAACGCCAAGTTGAGAGCTGGAGTCAAAGTTTACTTTGGGGAGCTGTGAAAGCTTTTTCCCCGACGCATGTATAGGTTGACTCCAGCCTTCCGTGTCGCTTCCGCCTCAAACCCAGGGGCCCTAGTCACGTGAACGCGTCGACCATGAAGGCCATGGAAAACAGGTTGGCACCAGAGCGCTGAGGGTGGCTTTCCGTTACCACGCACATTTTCTTATGCGTTTTGATGGTTTAAAGTAGAAAGTGTTTTTCTTTTAGCGCGGTGGTGGTCCACCGAAGAAATTCGAAACGCATTTTTTGTTTTTTTTTGTTTTGTTTTTTGCTTTTCTTCAGCAAAGCGGCGCGGTGAGTGTTCTACATTAAAAAACCTTGCAACAGCAGCGCTTTCCCAGGTAAAAAACATAGTTTTTCGACGTCCTTCGATTTGGGCCTTGCTACTGGGAAACCTGAAAAAACATAGTTTTTGAACATCAAAAATCACCAATTAGAACTTATAGAACTTAAAAATAGTTACATTTAAGTTACATCTTACTTACGAAGCCCTCCAGCTAACTTAGTTTTAAGTAATTTGTAACTTCACCAAGTAAGTTACAAGTGTTTTAACTAGCGGGGTCCATTGTTGTGGTGGAATCAAATGAGTGGAATATATGGTGGGTCAGTCCCGGAACCCTCAGAACAGGTTTCGTCGTTCGCGGGTCCTGCGCGACAGCCTGGCAGGTCCCGGCTTTCGATTCAGTTGGTGGTAGCAGTGAGATTTGTAACGCTCGGGTGATGGCGAACGGAATGAAGGAATCGCACTGGGGGTATTTTAATGTTTTCTTTCCCTAAGAATCCCGCCTGCCATGGAGGGTCCAAGGATGCTTAGGGAAGATATGAAATAGCCAATGGGTATCCAAAAGGTTGACAAGTTGTTAAGGAAGGGCAAGAACCGCTTGATAGCCGATCGTTCTCTTGCATCATTTGCAAACCCATTGTCCCATGTCTGGTATTGGGTGTATAGACGGTCAAGAGCTATGGCACCAGTGTGGTTTTCAGCCCAAAGCCATGCCCAGCAGAGTTCAGCGGTTCATCAAAGCGTTTCGTCATGTTTTGCGGCATTCACGACAGCCTTGAAGAAATAACAACAATACAAAACAGTTGAAAGAAAAAGGTGAAAAATCAATTTGTTCTATGATTGTGTTGTTTTTGCTATTGCATAATCTTTGATATTGATACAATAATGATGCATATATATATATACCTGGACCTTCAAGGGGTGTCCAATGGAGATTCCTAAGTCGTGTAGGGGTTGCCAGCCAGGTGACCCGTTTGTGTTTCCTTTTGTTCGATATCCGTGGGTTTCACGATCTCAGGTGCACAAGCAGCACGCCTGCTGAGCGTCAGGTCTCACAACCGACACGACGCGGGACTCCACGTCGAAAAGGGATGGATCTCGGTGCGGGATCAACGGACGGGCCCACCAGTGGTGGATGCCCAGCCCCAGTAGATGGTGAATCCTCTCTCAAAAGGGCAGAATTCCTGAAGAAGCAAAGCCTAAGGGGCCCACTGTACGTGTATTATGGTAAGTATAGATAGCATGGTGCAAGATAACCCTGTCAATAGCTCCGGTGTTTTGGTATGGGTACTGGCACCAAAGTATAATGCACCCCACCACTGGCGGACGGAATGGTTGAACAACTGCGGGTTTCAATGGTGTGTTTTAGTTGAGCCATGTTGAAACCGACCTCATGTTGAAAACACGTCAGCCTGGTATGACATGGTGGGTGTTCAGATTCGCCTGCTTTGGTGGTGATGTCGTGGGGTCCCAAAAACCCAGGGTGTCCAGAAAGCAGATTTTCAACCGAAGGGGGCCAGCGAGACACTGACGGGCCTGGCGAAGCTGGCGAAGCTGGCGCCGTGTTCCCGGAGACCCACCCCGCGAAAAACCACGATGGGCGAGACGCAGCGTCGTTATGAACAGAATCAAGTCCCTAGACATCCAGTCGACCGAACCTCAGAAGGCGGACCCTCCTGGCACCCACCCCACCAACCACCTTCTGAGAAGGTACGACTGGATCGCTAGGGAGTAGTTCTTTCAAATCTATCAGGGTGAGTTCAGGGGCTTCCGGTGCCATGAGCCACAGCGAAGGGTTTTTTTCTTCGCTACCTTCCGCCGAGCGAGCGAGCGAACCCGGAACCCAAATCGTCCGGTAGTGAACTTGGCAGGACTTGGATACCCAGGAAAGACCGCACGAATGGAGGGTCCAATAAGTTGGTTGGGTTGTCAACCACCCCCATGATTTGGTGAAGGAGGTGCCATGACCTCATAGCCACATGGTCATCCGTATGTTGGCACATGGGATGGGACACTTGAAGGGAGCTTACTTTTTACATTGCGGTTCAGTCATGGAAGCCACTTGGATGTGTCTGAGGATCTTTTTTCCACAATCCGTAAAGATAAACAGGTCAGTGTATGTTCAAAATTGACCAGAGGTTCTTAAAGTTAGCCGGTTAATTTGGGAAATTCATGCAAATTAAGCTAGCGACATATAGAAGCCGAAACAACATAGTCATGATAACCCAGCTTAAGGCCCACTGGCTCTAAACCCAGGCAGCAACATCTCCTTTGACATCTTTTCAATTGAGGGGGAATGAACCGCCAAAAGACTGAATTAGTTTTCGTTTGCCATATTATTTCCATTTGAACAATGCGTCTTCGACCATATGAACCCCCCCAAATCGATTGGTCGATCATGCTCACAACCCGCAACCCTTGAGGTGGGGGTCCCCATCTTTGACGTTTCCTATAGCCGATCTTCCGCAGAACCGCCTCTTCCGCAGCCAAATCACGGATCTGACGCAGCTGCGTGTCCACGCAGCTCGATACCCATCGTGCGCGACTGGAGTGGATGGGCAAGGGGTCATTTGGCTTCCCATCACGACAGGTGCCGCGCGATGCCGTGCGAGTAGGGTGATTTGGACTGTGAAACCCATGAAAAACAAGTGCTTCATGAAACAGGACAAATACAGGAACAGCTACTACGCTTTTTCGGAGTCCAGTGGTACCCTTTACCGTGGTTTCAGAGGCGGCACTGGCACCCCGTCACCCCAAGATGTCTTTGTTCGATGGGGGGTCCACATATATCAACCACAGAACTGAGGGGGAGCGTGCCATTTTCTCCAAAAACCTCCTACAAGCTGTTGGATTGGTCACCCATGTCCTTGAGCAAAATTGAAGAGCCATGTCCTTGAAACGGTCGAAAGAAAACTGATCAGAGCCCGAATTTCACACCTGATCATCATGCTTGGGATCAGCAGTATGCAGCAGTCACATGGCGATTTCTTCCCCCAAATTCCGAATGGACATGGGCGGACCGTCCAGCAAGACTTGAGAGCCAGATGCTGCGACAGACAAAATACCAAAAGCGCTGCCAAACGCCATGCCGATGCCATGCGAAGCTCTTGGCGGGGAGTTTGGAGGCGAGCGGACGTCGCCCAAGCTCATGTTCCAAGCAAAACGCGTATCTAAATATGGTTAAACATACATGGTACTCTCCCAACATACCGACACATTTCAGGTGTTACATGTTTAGTGTTTTGCTTGATTTTTGAAATAGATGGTGTTATAGATGGTGTTATTGTTGTGGACAATTGTTGCACAACATGTTGTGCAAACAGTGTTTGCAAACCTTGGCAAACGACCCTAAGTATCCAAGTAGCTGAAGTCTCGAAGATGTTCAGGTTTCAAGCTTCCGGATGACTTAGAATTCTTGGATGTCAAGGACCTGGCACTGGAATCCGAGAAGCCTTGAATTCAGCTATATTCAGCTACTTGGATACCTTGGGTCGTTTGGCAAGACGTGTTGCAGGCCTATGCAGGCCTCTGTCGTACCAGGCCTGCTATGGCGAGTCATAACCTCGCTTTCAGAGTGCCGTCTCACCGTCGGTCGCACGTCCGTCACACACTTCCGCATCCAAGGGCTCTTCGGTTGATTTCTCCAGGCAGACATGACCCGGACCCGGTCTTCCTCAGGTCTTTTCCCTAGGGATCCAGTCGTACCTTCTCAGAAGGTGATTGGAGGCACTGTTATGTAGGTTTGGAGGGTCCAAGTGCCTTTTGAGGAGGTACGACTGGATCCCTAGGGTTTGGGGTGTCGGACTGTGACACGGAGCGGCACGACACAGAGTCACTGAGCGGTGACGGCCGGTGTGGAGCTGACCAAGGAGGGGGGCTGCAGTTTGCCGTGCTCGCTTGGCACCTGTTCCGGAGGACCGATGTCTATGTCGCCTTCCAACTGTGGACGAGGTAGCGCATTGGAACATTCAAGCAATTCACAGGCTCCAGGGCCAGGCGGGATAAGGAAGGTGGAGTGGAAACCATCGCCCAAAACTGGCTTGAAGACAAACAGTGATCCTCCACACAGACGCCACAAAGAGCTCTCGCACACGAGTTCCTGGTGTTTTGCACGGGATCAAGGTCAAGGGCGAATGGAAGCGGCAGCTTCCATATGTCCGTCTGGCCACCCATCAAGTGCCGGGGACGAAACAAAATCCAACAATTGAAGGTGACACTCAGGTATCGAAGGTGACTGGCGCTACTTGAAGATCTTGAAGGGTAGCATGGTCTTGAATCAAGCTTGCGCAGCTGCTTCCGAGCGCCTTCACTCAAAACTGCGATTGGCGCTGCACCAATACTGGTACAGGCAGAAGGATCTTTGGGAATGTATCTGCATTGAGCATCAATATGAAACCTCCAACAAATGCAACAAAGCCCGCATCCTCTGTCTCAATTGGGGATCGCATTCTGATTGTATGCGCTCCAGCAACCCGACCTGTCAACTTCACTGGGATGGGCGTGCGCAACTCTTGTAGTTGCAAACTTTTAGTTCTGTCAAGTAGGATATTGAATGAATCATCAGGCCCAATATGGTCGATGTATTTTTTTTGTTGACAGGTTACATTGTCGCTTCATCGTTGCTGAAAAAACACCGCTTCAAAAGCCAAAGAGATTGGGCCCAATGCTCGCATTGCCCTCGAAGTCAACACACACACACACACACACACCCCTTGGTTTCGTTATGCTTTCGCTCCCTTGCCCACCTGAAAAAGAACAAACGTCTCCAACTCGCTGGGCTGGGTTCAACGGTTTCTTCTGTATACAAATATATATATATGAAACATATAATTATATGAAACATATGATTTCCCTGTTGGGAGGCGGGGGGGGCATGGGTTTCCTACGTGTTGTTTTTCCAGCACCCAGCTGGAGAGCAGGAGATCTCTCATCCGTCCCCATCGCTGGCTCCAGGTCTTACAGCACCGCGAGCACCGCAAGCAGCACGGCCGCCACGGGCGGTGCACCAGAGATCGCCTCGATCTTTGAGCGGATGGCCAAACCAAAGGCCGGACGAAGCAGCCTTTGTCCTTCTACCTAAGAATCCGGGCCCTCAAACACATAGGGTTGGAGGCCATCGCTACTGCTACTAGGGTGAAGGCCATCGCTAGTAGGTTGAAGGCCATCGCTAGAATCTCCCTAAGAATCCGGCCCTGAAACACACAGGGTATTGAGGGTTTGGACCCTGCTATGCAGGCCCTCCCCTGCCGTGCAGGGCCCAAAGATTCATAGAGTCATAGATATTCAAAGTATTTCAATTTTTCTTTTTTGTGAACACATGCTCCAATCAGCCAGACTGGTCCCTCAAGCCTATAACCCAGACCCCTCCAGAAAATTGGGGTCCGATCCCTTGAGGGTCCAGGGTTAGACATGGCAACCATGGCACCTTTAGGCGGCAGGGAACCTTCTTCTTTTTGGGTGCAACGGCTTCCAGCAGGTGGATGTGTCCTTTCAGCATACTCCACCCACTCGTAGATGGTGATTGGTTGATTTGGCCACTCCGGGTTCACCGCTGTAACGCGGCCGGACCGTCCGTCCGGGCTGCCCGTTGGTTTTCTGACACAGAACTGTCTTGCAGTTCCATCATGGGAAAGGTTCTGAAACGGCAGAAGGTTCTGAAAGAACATGTGTTTTCTATGATGTGAACATCGGCTTTCATCGAAAGCAGTGACCACAAAATCGTCATTTTTCGGATCAGGTCCGGTATCCTCCTTTGTGTAATTGTTTGCAACAGCTTGCCAGCCACAACAAAACCTATCAGAACCGAACCTCGCATTCACGATCTGTGCCGAACCACGCAGAAGCACATACCCCATGTGCATGGAAGATATGCCTACATTGACCCCCCAAACCACTCCAATGTCGGCATCTATACCATCCATGGAGTGTTTGGGATATATGACGAAGGCCCCGGGCACCGCCACGGCCGCCAGGCGCCTTCGGCGGAGAGTTGGGAGCTTTTCTCCAAGTTAGCCAGCCCTGAAGACGTGCCCCTTGGCCCGAATGGCCGTCCAACACACACGAGTTGCGATACATTGCTTGGTTGC